CAATGATGGAATTGCTTATAATTAAACAAAATGTATAAAAGAACTCTGAATTCCATGTAAAAATAAATTAGTTTTAATAAATAAAATTATTATATAATAGTTCTTGATAAACCCAAAATTGTTTGTGATAATTCCAACTTCTAAATTTTTAAATTAATATAGTTGCCACCATCATAATTGATTTTGATAATTACCTATTTCTCTTGTGCAATTAAAAATCATTATTTAAAAAAAAATGGAAATTCTGAAAAGTAGGAAACAAAACAATAGACTCAATAGAGTGTCATCTTAAGGATACTTGTATGAAGCCTCAACTAAATGCTAGTGATCAAAATTTTCAGCTGTTCATAAAGCTGACACTTCTTCCATGTGGTCATATTTATCATGAATATTGTTTACAAAATCATAACTACAAGTGTCTATATTGTTTAAAATACATAAAAAATCAGATTATACCAATGTAGAATCTATTATTAAAAGACTTATAAGTAAAAAAGATCTTCAAATAGAAAATGATCCTGAACCTGAGGAATTACAAATGGAATTTAATCTCCAAGCCAAGATTGAGTTTAATACAGCACTTCAAGAGTTCCTAAGGGATTAAATTTCATATAATAATTTTTTTTTCTTTTATTTATTTATATACACAGTGAAATTCGATTTAGCGGATAATTTCGGCCACTTAGTAAAAAATTTTCAAAAATCCGTTAAATTGAGATTTAATTAGTATATACATCCGTTATATCGAGAAATTTACTATATAAAAATGCAGCCCAGTCCTGAGCCTCAATCCGTTAAATCGAGATTTTTATTAGACGTCCGCTAAATCGAAATCCACTAAATTGAGTTTCACTGTGTATTATTGTTACATATATAAATTTAGAAGTTCTTTAGAATAATTAACTAATATATACTATGCCTTGTAACTAACCAAATAAATAAGGAAAATATTAATATATATATATATATATATATATGCATGTATAAATTTAGAGTTTTTAGAACAACTACCTTTTGAAATCCTTTCATGTAATTAACAAATCATATAACATCTATGTACAGTAATAAAAAAACTGTAGTCAGTGTATGTCTTGTAATTAAATCAAATATGTATGTATGTATGTATGTATGTATAAATTTAAAGGTTTTTTAGAACAACTACCTTTTGAAATCCTTTCATGTAATTAACAGATCATATAACATCTACGTACAGTAATAAAAAAACTGTAGTCAGTGTATGTCTTGTAATTAAATCATATATATATATATATGTATGTATGTACATACACTGCCCTCCAAAAAGTATTTGGACGATGTTTTTGATAATTACGCAAAATGCCACATAACGAAAGTACATAAAATTTATGTCATTTTATGGCTTGGTTCTGACGACTCTACATATAAAATCTCATTTTCCTATCATTCTTTTATGATTTTTAATTAAAAAAAAACGAACACCAAATAAATCACGAGGCTTATTTTTGTGATTTTCCAATAATTTTACTTTTCTCAAAATTTTATATCATAAAATTTAATAAAAATTTAACAGTTTGTAGTTTAAGTTCTCATAAATAAATGACTAAAACTTCATGTTCTTGTCATGTGTAAAAGTTTTGTTATTCAAATAAACTGAGTACCAATAAAATTGATTAGATCAAAAAAAATTGTGAAAATTTTTTTTGATTTTTAAAAATGGCAAAAAAGAAAAATTCAGAATTAACTGAAGTCAAATGAGGAAAAATTTTAGGCCTAAGAATAAGTGGTAGTTCTCTTGCAAAAATTGCAAAGAAATTTAATATTCCAAAGTCTATGGTTCATTATACTATCAAACATTATGAGAATGCAGAGAATTTAAGAAGTGCACCAAGAAGTGGTCACCCAAAGTTGTTGAAAGTTGAAGATCAAAAAATTTTAAAAGAAATTGCATCAAAAG